ATCAGTTATCAAACGACAGCCCTGTTCCCAGTGCCCTACCGTTTGTTTCGCATTTGGTGTACAAATTTAAACTCCCAAGCAAAAGCATGGGCCAGTGAAATGCAGACCAACTCCACTTTCTAGCCACTAGGGGGCGCCTGCTCTAATTGCTTGTTCCCCACTTCTTGCCTTTGTCAGCAAAATGCAGAGTTCTTGTTTGGAGGCAGGGGCTTGCCAAGGCCAGTGCTGCCAGGCTTGCTTTGAGGAGCCAGTGCCCTGGCAGAGCCTGGCTTCATGACTCGGATGATGAGCTCATCCTAGATGAATAGCTACTCCCACCATTCAGTTATTTGTTTTTGAACTCTACTTTTTGTTTTGTTTCTCAGTACTGGGGACTGAATCCAGCCAGCATCTCCAGGACTTTTTTTATTTTGAGATAAGATCTCATTAAGTTGCCTACGCTGGGATCCAATTTGAGATCCTCCTGCCTCAGCCTCCCAAGTAGCAGGAGTTACAGGTGTGTATCATGGTGCCAGGCAAAATCTATTTTTATAATATCTGTCTCTAGACTTAACATTATATGTTTATTTATTTGCCTAGCTCTGTCTCTCCCCACTAAAATCTAAATTCCACAGGAGCGGGAGACATTTTCTTATGTTCACAGCTCCTACAATGCCTAGTAGACACTCCATAAAATACACGTCACAAATAAATGAATAAACAAACACATAACAAAGAATTATTAGTAACTAAGGATTATATTTTAGGTGGATTCCCTTTATAAAATAATGAACATGAAACCAAGTCCTGAGTTACTGTCATCGCTTGCAGTTTCACTTAATTTTATCCTTCTATTCCACTTAAAAACTCGTGAAATTGTTTCATTTTCTAACTCCATTTTGAGCCTGTTGATTTGTCTGGAAAGAGACCCATGTCGTGTGGCAATGTCTATGGTGGTAACACCGGTTTAGGTTACAGAAGCAGCCCTTTTCTTTTTTCCTTTTTTTTTTTTTTTTTTTTTCTTTTTTGTACTGGGAATTAAACTCAGGCCCTTGTGTGGGGCTGCACCGCTGAGCCCCACAGGAGCAGTCTTGCTGTGCCCACGGTCCCCCAGGCCCATCCCCTACTCCTAGTAGCCTGCAGGGCAGGGAGGGACAAGCTGGGCTTGCCACCCTTGGAGTGGGAGAGATAACCAGCAAGGGAGCCTTAGTGGCCTCTGAGTTGCGTGGCTTGGCCCCTCCTGGCCTCTTCTAGACCTCCATCTGTACCCCGAGGGAGGCCAAGGCTCAAAGGCTTTCTCCACTGTCTGAGGAAACACTCAGCCCCGGATGATCCATTTGCCTCCCAACCCAGCTGGAGCGTGTGTGCATAGACCGGAGTGTGGCTCTCCAATCAGTCCTAATTAAGGCATCTTTTCTGGGTCCAGAGATTGCAGCTGGGCCTGGCAGGGGGCCCTGGCTTTCCCAGTGCTCAGGCCCACCAACTGCAGCCACCTGCAGCCAGCAACAGTGCGGGTCCACCTTCCCGCAGAGATCTGCCAGAGGGCGAGTGAGTGCAGCCAGCGCCTCCTCTGCCGAGTTACCACATGACATTTTAAAATCACCTGCAAGCCTAAATCCAGAGAGTATCCACAGTCTACGCACTTAACAGCTTGGAGGATGATTCAGAGGAAGTAATTTTCCAAAGTGAACATAATCATCTGTTGGTGTGAGAACGCAAACACTCTTTCATTAGCGTTGGAAACTCAAGGGGAACTTGCTAAATCCATGGATACAGCACTTTGGTAAGTGGCTGGAGAACAATACCACAGCTGGAAGAGAGACCACGCTCAGCACCCCTCCACATTCTGAGTTCAACCAAAGAAGAGCTCTCTTGGAGGGAAGGCGGAAGCCCAGCTTCTTCCTGTTTACATGATAAGCAGCTCCTCAGAGTCCTGTAACCCCCCCATCCTGGGAATCCCAGAATTCAGAGTGCCCAGGTCTACTTCATTCAAACAGTAATTTGTTTCCCTTATTCTGGGGGATGTGTTCCAAGATGGTCGGTGGAAGTCAGAACCAGTCCCAAAGCCTATGTGTGCTATATTTTCTACACTATACACATATGATAAAGTTTTCTTTATAAGTTAGGCACAGTTTTGTAAATGGGATGTGGACCAAGAGACAGAGGTAGGGCAGGAGAAGGGGATGTAAAAAGAATTAAGATGTGTTCTGTACACACACCAACTCCCCACAGTGAATGGAATCGTTATGTACTGCACCACGTACAAATGGCATCTTCCTGAGTTAAAGACATCCTATTACAGTGATGTATGCATACCCACGCTTATAGCAGCACAATTCCTACGAGTTAAATCTTGGACATATCCTATATGAGATGAATGGATAGAGAAAATGTGGTATTTATACAGAATGGAATCCTGCTCTACCAAAAAGAATAAATGTGAGTCATTTGTAGGAGAATGGATGAACCTTGAGATCATAAAGTTCAGCAAAGTGAATAAGACAGTTTAGTTTAAATATCACATGCTTTCCCATATATAAGAAACCCAAGGGTCAGGGGAGATAGCTCAGTGGTCCAAGCTCCTGCCTGGCAAGTGCAAGGACCAGAGTTCGATCCCTGGTATTGCATACTGTGTTGGTCCTGGAACTGGGTGCGCCGTGCCAGCTACTGAAACCGGATGCATGCCTGTAATCCCAGTGCTGGGAGGTTGAGAAAGGAGGATCACCATGAGCCTGAGCTGCATAGTGAGACCCGGTACCAAATACATAAATAGTTTTTAAAAATTAAAAAGAAACTCAAACTAACAAAGGGCAAAATAAAAGGTAATAGGAAGGAGGGAGATAGAGCCTTTTTCAAATATGAAGGTGATCAAGAGATCCAGAGAGGGAAGGGAGAGGAAGGAGAGGGGAAGGGATGAAGAAGAACTGAGATGCGCTTGTTGTGTCCCGCACGCTAGCTCCCCCCAAGGAGTGTAATCACATAATGCAGACATGTACTAATAAAAAAATCAAAACTGAAAAATATATAAATTAGGCACTGTAAGAGATTAACGACTCATAAGAAAACAACAATTATAACAACATACTATAATAAAACTTACTTAAACCTTACGAATCTTTCCTGGAATTTTTCCACTTAATGCTTTGGGAACCTAGTTGACCTGGGGGGTGGAGTCCAGAGGAGAGGACCACTGTACATTTCCATGTGACCTTAATCTGTTCAAAGCTCCTGTGTTTATTATATGAAATTAAAGATTGGGGTTTTTTTGGGGGGGGAGGGCGTTTGCTGGCTCAGGCTGCTGTAAGTGCGGGTGTGGTGTGGCATGTGGAGCTGGGGATCGAACTGCGGTCCCGCAAGCCTGACTGGGTTTGCCTAGGCAGGCGCTTAAACAACTGAGCTAACCAGCAAGCCTTCTATTCTATGAGATTAAAACATAGATTCCAGTCCTTACCTTTCCTGAGGCTGCAGTAACCACTGGCCTATCTGAGAACTCCATGTGGATGGAGAATAGGGGACTCGAAGCTGGTCTGGCCAAAGCAGGATTCTCAGTCTCTGCACCCTTTCCACAGTCCTGTCTCTATATAAGAAACCACTCCCAAATCTAGTAACTTAAAGCAAATCATATTGGCACCATATGGAGCCTGAGGAGGTCCCCCAAAGAGAAGTTAGAGACCTCGACTCACCTCACCCACAGGGCAGGTTGTAGGTTTGCTGGCTTCTACCAAAAAACTGAGGTTTTCAAGTGCATGAGGAGATTAGACAGAATCTTGAAAGTACACAGGCAGAGGGAATGGAGTGTGGGCGGGAGGCATCTGTGGTTGGAGCTGGGTATGCTTGTGTGATCTCGGGCACATCTCAAGGTGGCTGCTCTGAGTATCTGTCAGGTCACCCTCTGAAGGGCTGTGTCTGAATGTCAATCATTTTCATGTATTTGAAGTTGAGACGCTGCCTCCTCAGTGATGCTGCCTTCCTAGGATGCAGAGTGTGGGAGGGAGGGCAATTTCCAGGTGAGATGCTTGGGCACCACTTTACAGGCTTGCTGTGTTCTTAAGACCTGAAGGGATTCTTATTTTCAAATGGGTATCCTAGAAGGGAAAAAGGCATTGTAGTCTTGGGTAATTTTTCTGTCCTGATGCTGAAGTTTTTCTTAAAAGTCCAATATAGTTTTTCTTGTCTCCTTGCTACCTGTGTTTATTTTTTCTGTCCTACTGCAAGCTTGCTAGTTTTGTTGTTTGGTTTGGTTTCTTGAAACAGGATTTCACTATTTCATGCTGGCCTCAAACTCATAGTGATCCTCCTGCCCCAGCCTCCTGAGTGCTGGGCTTAAGGTATGTGCTACCATGCCTGGCAGTATTCTTTATTTTTCTTATGAACCTGTGATTTTTGTGTGGCTCCATGAAGCAGCAGATGGGACAGCTCAATTTGCGACTAGCAGAGCTTGCTGGTTCATGCACACAATAGCCCAGATTCGCTGTCATCCTCTAGACAGGTAGGCCTGTGGGGCAAGGATGAGGTTCTCCCCAGGCTGCTGGGGCTCTGTCAGTGCTTAGTGATGGAGCTCCAAGCGTGAGTGATGGAGACGAAGCAGAAGCTGCTGCTATCGTAGGACTACAGGCCTGGAAGCTGGCAAAGCATTAATCCTGTTGTATTCTATCAACCCAACGGTCACAGTGCCTAGATTCAAGAGGAGGGCACATGGCCTCCAACTTTCTTTGGAAAGAATGTATCAAAGAATTTGAGGATATGTTCTAAAACTGTGATATGTCCCAAACCTCTCCTGCTCCATTCACCAATTGCTCAAGCAACTAGGAATCATCTTTGCTGTTGGAGAAGGCTCTACAGTGACCAGGTCTGAGCAGCCTCCCCTTGCAAGCCTGCACCATGCCCACCTTCCTGTGGAACCAGCGATGCATTTGTGCTCTATAAACACTTGGTTACTGTTATGCTGGGGTGAGATGGGGTTGTAGCCTGCCTGTCCCTTCAACATCAGTCCAGTTGTTGATGTGGGTTATTTTCACCTAATAGCTAGATGCAGTTAGAAGCTCCAGCATAACAAATTGCAAATGTTTGTTTCAGTGATTTATTTTTTAGTGAAGACATTTAAACTTTTGAAGAGAAACCTGAAAATGGGCATTTAGGAGCATTCCTAATAAAGAATAAAACTCTCATTAGGACTTTAAAACATTGGTGTTCTTAAATGAATTTTTTAAAAATCCACTGAGGTGGAAAGCAAGTTCAAAAACAATGAAATAGACTGTCTTCTTAAAAATACTTCTTAAACTTTTTTTTAGTACTTTGGTGTAGAGAATCGATTGTGTGAATTGAAATAGAAATCACAAGACACAGTGGCTACGTGGTCAGTCCTTCCCTTAGGGAAGTGGCAGCTTGTTGATAGGATTTCTTTTAATCCATTATAATGAGACTTTGCCTAGGGGTTTGAATGTTGGAAAACTCAGTAACATTGGAAATTCAAGTTTATACCAGAGAGACTGATTGTGAGGTGCCCTTGTGCTAACCAAAGTGAGATGACACGGGGATGGCAGTACACAGCTGCTCCTGCCAGGGGCACGGCCACCAGACAACAAGCGCTTCCCTGGCGGCGCTGCCCACCCAGATCCTCCAAGCAGAGCCTGCTCTGTCCTTGGAGGGTGGGGAAGGAAGCCCAAGAGACCAGTTGGGCATCATCTGGACCTTGGCCCCCGTGGCAGGAAGCACCTGGCAAAAATAGGACCTTTGGCAGTACTGACTTGGGGTTGGAATATCCCTCTTGTGATGGTGGATGATTTTCAACCCCCTTGAGATCATGTCCAACTCGAGCTTCAAGCCCAAATGCAGCACTTGGCTATGTCTAGAGGTTTGAGCCCCAGTTCTGTGCATTGGCTGAAGGGTTCCAAGGGCAATTAGAAAGGCAGGCAGCAGGTTGCACGCTTCACGTCAGCAGAAGAGCCTAGGTTTTTCTCCTATTCCTTGTTTTCAATATTTTTTAATGACTTAAAAAATGACTGCTTACAACTCTAGCCCCTGGGATCACACAGACCATGTGGGGTGGGGAAGGCTGTGGGGAGCCAGAGACCTAGCCTGTCTCAGTGCAGACGATGGCCCTGGAGGGCTCCCCACCTCCCTCCTGGCCTGTGCTGCTGGGTCAGAGCCTGCACAGGGACTGAAGAAGCTGAAGCATCAGACAAAGCAACCCCTTCCATGGTCTCCTCTATACCACAGTCCTGGAGCAAGAGTGGGAACCCAGAAGGACAGGTGAGTCTCACCTGCACTGTCTAAAGTCCAGCTCGGAAGCCCTCCCTGCCTCCAAGATGTCTGTCCCCAGCAGTGAGAGGCCAGGGCCGCTCAGAGCCAGGTTCAGTCCACTCCACAATGGTGGCAAAGAAAAACCAAGTTCAGTTTACCAAAATAGCTGTATTATCTATAAAATTGAACTCTAGCGAGTCACTGATACTGGAGGCAGCGACGAGCTGCACCCCGGCTTGCAGAGGGCAGCTGGCTCTGTCCTACCAGCCCACAGTGGAACGTCTGTACTGAGCGGCACGTGGGCGCTTCATTTGTAAGGCCTCAGAAACCTGGACACTTTGGAACGCAGCAACCGGATGAAGGATCTTGGAAACATCTCTCGGGACTCCTGGGCTGTGTACTTGAAATAGTTCTGGGGGTGGGCCAAGACATCAAACAGAGCCTTGATCAGTTTCTTATCCTAAAGAGAAGAGAATTTTTGTTACCACGCCAAAATACTTAAACATTCTGACATTTTGCCAATGGAACTATAATGATCCAGTGTTAGGCAGTAGGTTGATTAACTGAAAAACACTTTGTGAAAATTGTTTCCTCTGATTTTTATCTGCTTCCCAGTTTTCATTTTTCCCAATTATCTGTAATAAGTATGCATTACTTTTTGTGCGGTGGGTGGGAAATAAACCTAGAACCAGCATACTGAGCTAAATTCCCAGTCCTTTTCCCCCCACCATTTGTCAACCCAGAGCCCCTTCTTTTTTTTCCCAAGGAGACTGAGTTCCACATTGATGTGGTTGAAGTCCCTCACAGGATTCTTCTGGGGCCCTTCACAATAACTGCATCCTTTCAGAGTGATGTCTACATTTTCTGGAATGTCGACAGTCTGATTGCTAAGAATGGTCTTCATTCTTGCGGGAGATGAGGCAGAGAGCCCTAGTCCTTTTTTGAGACAGGATTTCACTAAGTTGCTAAGTCACCCAGATTAGGCTCAAACTTGCAATCCTCTTGCCTCAGCCTCTTAGCTCATCTACATGACTTTAAAAAAAAATTATTTATTTATTTATTTATTTATTTATTTGGCATAGCGTCTTGCTACACAGTTCAGACTCAGTGATCCTCCTGTCTCAGCGTCCCCAGTGATAAGATTATAGGCATGTGCCACCACACCAAGTTTCAGTGGCCAGCACAGCACTGGGGGTTTCAGGGCCAGCACAGCATGTGGTATTGTGCATTGAACCCGGGTCTTTGTGCTTTCCAGGTAGGCATGTAGACCACTGAGCTATCTCCCCAGCCCATCTGTAATACTTTTTAAAAGAAAATTTAATATGTAAAAATCTGTTTTCCCTTAACCAGATGAGATGCCACATAGGAATTTGGGGAATATTTATAGGGTTAGTGCTATGGCAATCATTTGTTGCTAATTATATGTCTAAAATTTGGGGGATAAATAAGGAGCCACATGTCCTCTACTGCTTGCAATTAATATGAAAACATTATGTGGCACTGGCTTGGGTTTATAAGCAAGTCCCCTTGACCTTGCCCTTCTACAAATTTCCAAATTAAAAAATATAATTTCACTTGACAAAAGATAAAACCTTTTTTAAAAAAATAAAAAGACTGGAGAATGTCTGAGGTTGGCTGGGGGCAGGTTTGAGGTCTAAAAGGTGGCAGGATGGGGCAGGAGGGCCTTCTCCCAGGGTGCTGGGGAGCTCTGGATACTCCCACATGCCCCTGAGGCAGGACTCACCTTCAGTATTTCCTGATGGTTCTCAGATGCATAGAGCCTGCCGTCTCGAACTATATCTTCTATGAGTTCCTGGTAGTCTTCTGTTGGAATAAAGGATGTATTTTAAATTTTAAAGAGAATGAAAAGGAAACGATTAAAAACAATACAGTATTTTAAAACAAGATGGTAGGAAATTAACAGTGGTTATTATATTGTTATCTTCAAAGTTCCTGCTCAGATTACCAGATACTGGCATGTAAAACTGATCAAACAATGTAAGCATTAACTGTTTCTTTCGATAAACTAATAGAAATTAGCAGTACAATTATCTTAGCTATCTTGTGTTTGTGTGCGTGTGTGTGTGTGTATTTTCTCCTTTCCTGCACCCCAGTTTTTCTTTTCTTTTGAGCAGTTTCTTTCCCTTCACAATAGCTATTATACCTGTTAGATTATTTACCCTTTCAGTTCTTATACGAGGGAGACAATATGTTTAATGTGAGTTTGATTTATTTTACGTATGAGTATGGTCTCTAGTTGCATCTATTTACCTATAAAAAACCTCAAGTTATCTTTCTTTATAGCTGAGTAATACTCCATTGTATATAAATACCAGTCTTTTTTATCCATTCCTCAGTTGATTGGCCTTTGGGTTGTTTCCAGGATTCAGCTATGACAAATTGTGCTGCTATAAACAGCTTCACCTATGTCACTGTAGTATGATGTTTTCAGCTCTTCTGGGAAGATACCGAGGAGGGGGATAGCTGGCTCGAGTGGGACCTCTAATCCTAGTTTTTTGAGGCATCTCCACATTGATTTCCACAGTGATCACACCATCCTACACTCCCACCAACAGTGGAGAAGGGCTCCTCTTCTCCCACAGCACCTCCAGCATTTGTTACTGGTTGACTTCTTGATGTTAGCTATTCTTGCTGGGGTGAGATGGAGTCTCAGTGTTGTTTTAATTTGCATTTAGCAAATGACCAATGATACTGAACATGTTTTCATATATTTGCCATTTGTAGTTCTTCATCTGAAAAGTGTGTATTCATCTCAGATGCCAATTTTTGGAGTGGGTCTTTGAATGTGGGTGCCTGATTTTTTTCAATTCTTTGTTTCTTCTAGAGAGAAGTTAATGAAGGACATATTTTGTAGGCATATAGTTTACCATTTTTTAAGCTTGCTATTGGATTTTCACAACGTTCTGCTCCATGTCTTCCTGGGGCTGCTCTCAGCAGTGGCCATTCCAGTCCTGAGAAGCCATCAGCGGGGAACCCCATCACCTGTCTGTCTCCTCTTCCCTGTGTGCATCCAGGAAGCACTCAGCTCTAGACTCGTCTTCCCTCACCACATCACAGGTAACTGGGCCAGTACATTTGTGTTTTCTTTCCGACATGATAGAGTATTCTCTGCTCTGGTCTTTCCCATTGTCATGCAAACTTGCGCTGGTGTTGCTGATCTTAAAACTCCCTCCCTCGACCTCCTTTCTCCCGCCAGCAGTCATCCCACTTCTCCACTCCCTCTCGCAGCAAAACTTCTTCAAAGCATGCCCAGCCGAATAGCTTTGCTTGTCCTCTCCATCATGCCCCTTACATTATCCGCCCTTGTGTTATGTTCTAGAAGACAGTCAGACTTCTTGCCCACCAAGCGAGCCTCTTCTTTATGTAAATGGGGCTGGGGATGGACAGTTTGGTTGGCCAGAGAGCAGATGGGCTCTGTTCACTTTCCCATCAGCAGTTTTTATCCTGACTTATCCATCAACACAGTGCACACAGTGATCTTCCACATGCAGTCCCCGCACCCTCAAAGTCTAGCCTGTTCCCCACACTCATAATTCAAATCAAGCATATGCAAAGCACAATCCTTTCCAGATCCCAGACACATTAAAAATGCCTCTTTGTATGCCTATCATGCACGACAAAGCCACACAAATTATGAGATCATTGAAACTGGATGGAAGAAGCTCTTAAAAAGTTTCTCTCAGTTAAGAGAAGATACATGGAAATTAAACCTATAACAGTCATAATTACTAATTAATGCATGCATAGTATCCTCGCTACTCTATTATTGGGATGTCTTTCTCCTCAGCCTTACTGAACATAAAATATGAACAAGGGTGCAAGTTTTCATTTACTTTTTGCCTTGGATCCCTCTGCTATAGGTTCTACCTCGGAGACCTGGCTCCTGTCAGACACGCAGAATGCTGTTCTGAGGTAATTGAAAACAGAGACTGCAGTTCGCCACCAATACTCCAGATGCTTGCCGATTGCTGCCTCTTAAAAAGTGTTCCCTCTGCTCCCAAGAGCTACTGTGTCTCCCCTCTTGCTCCAGTGCAAGGCTCTGGAGTTCCAAAGACCTGGGTTGGTCCCAGCTCTGCCACTTTGTCACACTGTGATTTTTTTTTTTTTTTTTTTTTTTTGTGGCTGGCTCAGCCTAGCCTGGGGGTGGGGCTGGTGCAGCATGGTCCCAATCTTGCCTAAGGTTGCCTAGGCAGGCACTTTAGACCACTGAGCTATCTCACCGGCCCACACACTATAATTTTGGGCTAGTTACATTTCTAAACTCGAGTGGCCAGTCATGTAGAATCAGGAAGTATCTGCATCTACTTCATGGGGGGACTGTGAGGAATGTATGATTAAGAGGTTCTTTGACAAGTCCAATCCCTCGTCCCCCCCCCCAAAAAAAAAGAGGTTCTTTGAGCTGGGGATAGCAGTACATGGCTGTAATGCTAGCTACTCAGGAGACTGAGATAGGAAGACTGCTAAGTGTGAGGCTAGATTAGGCAATTTAGTAAGACTGTATCGATATGAAATGAAATTAAAAAGACCTGGGGGTTGGGGGTATAGATTAGGTAGTAGGAGCTACTGAATTGGCACGGATATGGCCCTAAATTCAATCCCCAGGACTGAAGAACGTGGGAAAAGCTGCTGTGGCATTCAGTGACACTCAGGGCTACTCAGTACCAGTTGGCCACAAGTGCCATTTTCATCTTCTCCAGCAGTTGGTTGGCCTGTCTGTATTGGCCTCACCCCATGTTTTAAATATAATTTCTGGGATTAGAAAGCAGATGTCACACTTGAAATATGTGCTCTAAAATCAGACTCAAGTGAAAGCCTGAGGAGCCAAAGTAGCAGTTGTCAACTGTAACACAGGCAAGACACTCACAGGAGCCTAACCAGGGTTACATATAACTTGCCCAAGCTAAGACGGTTAACTTCTTGATAAAAAGAAAAATCAAGACAACTGTATGCATCCCAAAGGCAGAGATGAGGAAAGCCACACCGAGGTGCATGAGTTTTGGTGACACTTATTCTGGAGCCTCAGTGTCTGGAGAGAAGAGACTGCTAGGTAGGTGGCCACTTCCAGAAGGGCAGCTGGGCTCCGTGCCTGCCATAGCAGAGCCACCAGGAAGCCTTGTGAGTGCAGCCTCAGAGTTCGACACTGAGTGTCTTTGGTGTTTGGGCTAGTGCTCCTAGCTTTTGTCATGTTTGAAATACACTATGTGAAGTTTGTTTTAGGGCAGACACGGAGTGCTGTCTTTCTAAACATCTAATTTTGTCACTTTGCCCAAAACATCTGCCCTTCTGAGCCTGTGGCTCAGGGCTCCTCCCAGTCATCCCTGCCCCCTCCAGTCCCCTCTCAATGCTCAGCCCTGCTCTCGGCCTGGGCACTCCATCCCTTGGCCATGTCATTCATTCTTCCTGAATGCTCTTCCTCTCCATTTCTGCCTCCCACCTCACCCCTGGCTGAAACCTGCTCTTCCAAGACTTCCAGCGCTAGCACTATTAATATGCTGTTCTGTTCCTCTCAAAAGCCCACACAGCGTAACTACTGCCCTTTCTGCGCTCACACAGTGCTTTGTCCATGGACTGTACAAGTACCATGACAGCATATGCATTTCTGTGTTCCTGTCTCTCGCCACACTGTCACCAGAATTTGGTGGTAAGCCTGGAATAGTAGAGACTCACTAAATATCTGTTGGGTAGATGAGTAAGTTCATGAATGGACAGATGACTCTTTCTCCACTGGAGGGGTTATGAGGTCCTCCAGGACACGGTTCAGTTCATTTTATGCTCTTGATAAATGTTTGCCAACCAACTCTCAAAGCTAGACAGGGCTCCAAGGCCTCAGAAGGCCCCAGGCCCACCCTTTTTATTTAAGAGCAAGCAAATGAACTCAGGTTGTTTTTCTTTCTTCAGGATTCCATATCATAAAGGCCAGAACCATAAGAAACTGAGATTTATTGAGTAATTACTATGTGCCAGGCATCGTACAGAGTCCTTGAGGAACTCTCCCATTAAGTCTAATGCTTATCTTCATCAAGCAGTAAGAAAAGGCTTTCCTGGAGCTGCAGGTCAGTGGTAGAGAGTGTGCTCAGCAGGGGTGAGGCCTTGGAGGCGGCCAGGAGAGGAGGAGGAGGCAGAAAAGAGGGGAAGAAAGTGAGGCTCAGAGGTGGGAAGCAACGTACACAAAGTCACAGAGGAGATAATGGCCGGGCTGTCTGCCTCCAGTGCCTGTGCTACCCACCAAGCCAGGCTCACTTTTTTTTTTTTTTTTTTTTATTTATTATTTGAGAGAGAGAGAGAGAGAGAGAGAGAGAGAGAGAGAGAGAGAGAGAGAGAGAGAGGTGTGTGTGGCCAGCTCAGCCCACCAGGGGGCGAGGCTGGCTGGCATGTGGTGCTGGGGGATTGAACCGCGGTCCCCGATGCTTTGCCAAGCTTGTTCTAAGTAGGTGCTTTAGACCACTGAGCCATCTCTCCAGCCCCAGGCTCACTTTTATTGTATTTTCTAAAATGTCTTTTCATCCTTAGTGAGTGTCCCCAAATGCCTGCTGAAGATGTGACTTGTGAGTCAGTGATGTGCTTTCCCCTCACCCGGCCTGCCTTCCTGAGTGGGCGTCCTTGCCAGTAATTGGCCAGCTGGCTTGGGAGCTGGCTGTGTTCAGAGCAGAGCCACCCCTGCATGTGCGGGGCTGGAGCTCCGCAGCACTTACCATCATAGGTCACGTAGGGGACCTGGAACCCTCTGGCGCTATTCCCTTCATTGGACTTAAACTGAATCCACAGCTTCTTTGACCTGGAGGTGAAGGCGATGGGGCGTTCGTAGGTCTGGCAGGTTTCATACGTTGTCACCGAATTGGATGAAGCTGCCAAGGGAAGTGGGGGCGGGGTCAAGACCGGCTGCTGAGCAGGCTGATGGCATCCGCTCATCTGTTGAGACACTCAAACCAGAGAGCAGATTACTCAGGAGCTCTGCAGGCCCCATGAGCATCCTATGAGCGGCACGTCCTAGAGACAACACAGAGTCAGCTGCTGACTGTGCACCCTGTGAAGGGAGGCTCACCCACCCACCCAGGGTGTCACATCCAGAGTAGGGGCTGAAGGGAGGGTTCCCCCATTTCCAGAGCTGAGTTACTGTTTTCTAATAATAACTACTTCCCACTTACTACATGCTTCCTGAGACTCGAGCTTTTTATGTACTTTTTCTCCACTAATCCTCTGAATACCACAGCAAGTGGTAGCAAATGCTTACCTCTCATACGGGCGACTGAGGACTGGCCAGGAGCACAGCCAGCCTGTGGTGCAGTCACAATCCAAACCTTCACCTGACCTTGGACCCTTCAGCCACTAACAACAGTTATGGTGGCCCCATATGCCATGTTGCTCTAAGTGCTTTACAAATCTGAACCTATTTTGTCCTCCTATTTTGTCCTACCTGAGAGGTAGCAACTGTTATGCACCCCACTTTCCTGGCTGAGGAGGCTGCAGAGCAGGAGGCTCATGCTGTCTGCTCAAGACAATGAAGGTAGTGGAGGTGCGCTGGGACGGGCCCACCCACAGCACCACCGCTGAGCCATGTGGACGGCAGCATCCCCTTTCAGTCACTGGATCACATCAGGGTAGAAGGAGGTGCCCCCTCTTGGCCAGACCATGCTTTTGACCTTGGTCAGTTGCCAAGTCACTACCCAGGAGGAAGCAGTGTCTTGAGCCAGTACTGCAGAAGCCTTGCTATTCACTGAATTCCCTGGAAAAGGGCCCAACAAGCCAGCATGCACACACAGGAAAACTGGCCCACAGGGTCGCTACCTCGGGGGCTCAGCAAGAGGCCTCCATGTGTACTTTAGTCTAAGTTTTATTTCTTGGCAACTCTATAAATTCATGTCACATCTCTGCTCTACTATGGGGTGACAGTCTAGGCCTACTCCACACATTCAAAGCTCAGGAGCAGCTTGGAAGGTTTGTAGGCTGGCCTGAGAAGGGGAAAAATACACAGGGGAGACGCACAAGTTTTCCGCATCACCAGGTAGTCTCCACAGTCATCCTCTATGGGCAGGAAGATTTCGGGGACCACAATCAGAATGCGGCGCTTAGGGGGTGGGTTGATGGTCCATGTGCACTCCGTGTTGGCTGGGTAGTTGCCTGGGTAGTTTGGGGATTCGATATATCCTGTGAAGTCACCAAGCTCCCCTCCACATCTCCTGTCTGGAAAAGGAAATGCCATGGGTTATGAAGGTGCAACACTGTCATGGCTGCTGCTGTCAAGGCTGAGAAAGGCAGCTCCTTACTGCCATCGAGGAATGGAGGTAGAGATGACACTCTCCTTGGAGTGAGGCTGTCCTATAATGGGCTGGGCCTCCTTTGGGAGGCTAAAGACAGGAATTCTCCACAAGAGTCCACCCCTGAGTTCCTGAGATAACATTTTCTCATGAATCTGAGACACGAAGGTCACATATTAGTAAACAAAAGGACAAATTTAGTTTTCAATATTTGGTTTATAAGTCCAAGTGTCAAGAGAGCCCATGACAGAACTTCTAGGTCTATCCAAGGAGAAGGAACAGAACTCACTGTTCAGTGGAGTATTTGACCAAAAACTTTGATGAGGATTAAAAAAAACCAAACATCTTTTTTTGCTATTTTCTTGTTCAGATTAAAATCCATTTTTAGGGCCAGTGAGACAGCTCAACAGACTAAGTGCCTGCTTTGGCACGTGGAGGGACCTGGGTTTGATCCCTGGTCCCACATGCCATGCTGGCCCCACCCCCAGGGCGCATGGAGCCAACGATGGAGTCTGGGTGTGGTAGCGCACACCTGTAATCCCAGCACTGG